TTTTCTTTTTTCCTTCCTTCCTTGCCTGCACACAGTAGGACAACACACACAGAAGGCATGTGCCGAACGTGTGAATGAGTGAGTGAATGAGTGAATGGGTGAATGAATGAGTGAATGAGTGAGTGAGTGAATGAGTGAGTGAGTGAGGGAATGAGTTAGTGAAGGAGTGAATGAGTGAGTGACTGAGGGAGGGAGGGAATGAGTGAGTGAAGGAGCGAGTGAGTGAGTGAGTGAGTGAGTGAATGAGTGAGTGAGTGAGGGAATGAGTTAGTGAAGGAGTGAATGAGTGAGTGACTGAGGGAGGGAGGGAATGAGTGAGTGAAGGAGCGAGTGAGTGAGTGAGTGAGTGAGTGAATGAGTGAGTGAGTGAGGGAGGGAGGGAATGAGTGAGTGAAGGAGCGAGTGAGTGAGTGAGAGAGTGAGTGAATGAGTGTGAGGGAGTGAGGGAGTGAATGAGTGAGGGAGTGAAGGAGTGAGTGAAGGAGTGAATGAACGTGGGGAGTGAATGAGGTGAAGGAGTGAATGAGTGAGGGCATGAATGAGTGAGTGAGTGAGTGAGTGAGGGAGTGAGGGAGGGAATGAGGGAGTGAATGAGGGAATGAATGAGTGAGGGAGTGAGGGAGTGAATGAGTGAGGGAGTGAAGGAGTGAGTGAAGGAGTGAATGAACGAGTGAGGGAGGGTGGGAATGAGTGAGGGAGTGAGTGAGGGAGTGAGGGATGGAATGAGGGAGTGAATGAGGGAATGAATGAGTGAGGGAGGGAGTGAGTGAGTGAAGGAGTGAATGAACGAGTGAAGGAGTGAGTGAGTGAGGGAGGGAATGAGTGAGTAAGGGAGTGAGTGAGGGAGTGAGGGATGGAATGAGGGAGTGAATGAGGGAATGAATGAGTGAGGGAGGGAGGAAGGGAGTGAAGGAGTGAATGAGTGAGGGAGTGAAGGAGTGAGTGAAGGAGTGAATGAACAAGTGAAGGAGTGAATGAACAAGTGAAGGAGTGAGTGAGGGAG